TTTATGCGAAAATCCCTACCCATTCAAATATTTCAAAAGAAAATCACAACCCATTTATATATATTTCCCAGCTATCATGACAACATCTTGTTTCAATGAGATGTTAACCACATGGGATCCTTGATTCATAAGATCAGAACATAGTTTTTACTGACATCTTAACAGAAGATGAACATGTATGACCCATTAACATACACATTTTGACCCATTGATATATTACTTCCGTGAAATTGCATCGCATTGATATATTTGACATTCCAAAAAAGATCTGTGTATACCTTTCTACAGGAAGAAACCTCCCCCCCCCCCCCCCTTTGTGTGTTCTTAGTGCCATTTGCATCTGGTGCAGAAAAATTGGTACCGTTTATGTAATTCTTACAACAGAGTATATGTTTACCCTCGGAAGCAAACAATTGGCCTTTCACATATATAATCGCTTCCCATAACATACTGTTAAACATATATCTCATTTTAATAAATAATGTTTTAGTTGTATCTAACATGTCATCGGTGACCACTCTAAACTCCTTATGAATACCAAGTCTATAAATTGGAATTGTTCCGATTTCTATTTAGATAAAGTGATCAGAATATATAAATATTAAAAGATTTGTTATATTTTCCTGTTACACCTGGACAAACAAGTATAAAAATTCTAACATTTTCATATTCCGTGACGCATTTTAATACTTTGTCTGAGTTTTCATTATAGACGGTCCGACCGAGTTGACTTTGTAGAAGGTCCGATTGACTTATAAGTCGGTCCGATTTGACTCTGTCCGAGTTATCTTCGGGCCGAGTTGTGCCGCATTCGTTAAATTGCAACAGCCAATGAAATCCGTTGTTACAAATATTACCCAGAATGAAATATTATTTATTATTGAATATATATATTTTTTTACCATATCTATAGATAAAATTAGAGATAAAATATTGCACATAAATTTTTATTTTTTGACCATATATAAAAAAAAAATATTGCATGTATATTTGAAAGTTTTGAACATAAATAGAAATATATTGCATATATATTTGTAAGTTTTGAATATAAATAGAAAAAAACTGCATATATATTTGTAAGTTTTGAACATAATTTTTGTTTTGAATCAATATTTTTTTTTTAATATTGAAACGTTTGACGTGCCATATCAGGGCATTGTTAATACGAAATATTTCACACGAATACATACTCATTGTTCATTTTCCTGGAATTTAATTAACAAAACAATCAATTGAAAATATCAGAATTTAAAAACATTTTAACACCAAAAATTCTGTATGATACAGTGAACAAAACAAGATTGTCGCCTTTTGCATGAGTAAGGTATTAACATGCTTAGTCAAAATAGGGGGCAATTGTATTGATACCATGCAATATGCTATACAGTGGTTTAGCACAGCTTGCACAAGAATATATATTTTTACTGCTATTGCAGTATATTAACGCAATTTAAAACATAAAATGTTGTATCTTTAGATTTGAATAAAGGATAAGTATTTCAATGAAACAGCAAAACAACGACACAAATACATTTTACAGGTCAATACATAATAACAATAGGTAAATGTCGATACAATATGTCAAGCTTTTAATCAAACCGAGTTTAGAAAAAAAGGCAAACTTAAAAGAAGATATATCAGCCATACACAGCAACTTCTTTCAAGGTTATATTTTTACACAAATGCGTATGTATTAGATAGGAGAAATTAACGATTATAACAACTGCAGTTTCAATTAATTGTCAGTTAAATTCTTTTTCTTTTGAACAAGGGACAATAGGCATATTTGTTAGTTCAAAGGCGCCATCGTTTTTTATTCGTTATTGAATTCACACACGTGACATTTAAATATTAAAAATTATACAAAGATGACTATACATATTTTATTTGCTCTGGAATAGAAGTGAAATAATTATACATTTGAAACTTGCTTCAATATTTGATAAAAAAAAAACTGACAATAAAAACCTTAAGAGCTTAATGCAAATTGTAATTAAAGTGTAAAATAGGGTGACAAAGGTAAATAGCTATACTTATAAAAGAATGATATCCCACTCAGTGTATGTAATGTGCGAATCCTGAAATGTCATTTTTACTGTATCCGTGATGAATTTCTGATGTAGAATGATAAATAAACAGACGATAAATTCGTGATTTTTGAAAAAAATAAGAAATAATATATAATGTGTACTGTTTTTATAATTTCATGATATAGGTATGAGATGCGGACGGGTTTTCATCGCGCCTACAGCCATCCAGGTGCAAAAGTGATACACAAATAGATAAATATTAAGAATAGTTCACGAACAGAGCGTGCAAGAGATTTAAAAGTAGCAGTTAAGTTTCATTTGAAGAAAAATGTACCTTTTGACATAATTATTAATGTTGTATAACTTAAAACAGGTTTTGTTATTCAGCTTGATATTGACTCAAATTCCACTATACTGTTTTCGTTATGCGATTCATGTTTATTGTCGAATAATGATACTAGACTTTCATTTTCACTGTAGGGCGATTCATTTTTATTGTACATGCGATGCATTTTCACAGAAGGAAATGAATTAATTTTCATTATATAAAGTCTTAATTCAGAAGGAGAGATTATATATACATACTTTGTGAGTTAAAGTCTGAGGTAATATACCAATAAATTCCTTAGAAATGGCATTTATTGCTAATATAGTCAATTTTATTTTCTCTAATAATTTATCCAGATCAAGATCTATATATAGGATAAAATTTATTCCTTCCTATGACATGCCATCATTGAATACATATATCTTGGACAGTTAAGCCAATCCACGTCACCGAAAAAGCAGAGTTTCTGTTTCGGTCTAAATCTACATCGCATACTAATAAATTAAATGTTATTAGAGCTATTTTCCTAATGTTTGTAGTTTAAAGGTGTGGGTGACTTGCTTGCTTTGTTTGTATAAATGTTTGCTTAAGCATTGTAATTAAGATTGAGTAAACATTTATACAAACATAGCAAGCAAGCCAACCAAACTTTTAAACTACAAGCATTAGGAAAATAGCTCTAATGGATGCATTTTAGATAACAAAGAGCATTCACAAAACTATCTTCATTTCACGATTGAATGAGTGGAAACGTTTTCATCTTGCACAAACAATTGACGCTTGGTTGACTGGAGAATTGATATTTATCATGCCATTGTGTACACATCTAATACATTAAAGAAAGTTGGAGCAACAGTCAAATCACCTTAATTCATGTTTTAATTTCTTATAAGTCTGTTTTTAAACATAAGCAAATACGCAATTGTAAGAATAAAAGGAAATATTGAAAACAGTTTAGTGTTACATGTTTAAATGGTTCTATACCACGGGGTATAACCGCCTTATAGTTGATTCCGGACGTTAATCGCTACATCGCCAAGCGATGTTGGTAGATAGACCGTTCTTATATTTTCACCAAAGACTAATTGACGCACTGTTCAGTTAAGTATTCAATGTTTATGAAAACAAAGTTTACTGCTCCTGGCAGCTATATTACATGAACACCATGTGACTATTTTAAATAGACAGGTCTGTGAATTACTTTTTAACATCGCGAAACAAACAATCTGTGTAACTCAAACTTGATTAAATTACAAATACAGCATAGTTGGTTGGCTCTTACACTCAATGCGACCGTGTATTTTGTGATTTGTTGTTGTGAATAATACATAATGCGAATGAGAAACCCGTTGTTTTAATTATTTTTGAAGACATTTACTTGAAAAACTGACCTCAGAATTTTGGCACTGTACGATTCATTCTCTTTGTAGTTTGTTAACTTTCTTTAGTACCGTTCGTTGTACATTCTTGTACTGTTCATTGTGCAAAAGCCTATCAATATGGTAGAAATATGTATGACACGGCGTGACAAATTTTCAGAGCTTTTTTATGCGAGTTCTCAAACTTCTAAAGGAAAATTCGCCGTAGAAATACGTTATATTCATGGATGTTTTGATCCAGTAAATTTTCGGATCCATGACAAGCTAATAGCAAACTCACCAACAATATTTGAATATGCATGATATGAACGTGGTTATACCCGTGTATATTCAAGTAGGCATCTACGACTAGCTGGCATTTCAAATTGTAAATATCATCAATAGTAAAGTCATTTAAAAACTATTTTCAGTTGTTGCATGTCGAATTAACATATAAATCAACAATGAAAATTCATAGCACCTTCAAAAATTCCACATCAGAAATTATTGCACTTACAATGATAATTCATCGCATTTATAGTTAAAATGAATCGCATTCAGTAATTAATATTATGGATTCTGCTGCTTTAATTACACTTTTTTGGACATTAATCCTGTTATTATACATTAAAAAGTTATATTCTAATGAAATTGTATTAAAACATACATTCATTCAATTGTATTGTATTTTTAAAAAGTAAACAAACGCAGTTTTTCCCATCATCCTTTATTCTACAATAGACATACTCGCATACAACAGTGAAAATGAACTAACTGGATTCGCCCTTTATATACACTGCCACTGAAAGCTTGAAAGTTTTTGAACATATATTATTTGTGTTATCGATTCGCACTTCTAAATTTAATGACTGGATACATAAAATGTAAATGTCAAATAATTACTTCCCTTGTGTGTACAAGGTACACATGGAGCATCCTGATTGTAATAAATACAAGTAATAGCTTTTCAAAAAAACGCTAGCCGTCTCTTAGCTGATGAAAATGGAAAGTGTTCTCGCTTTGTAGATTAATTCATTCAGAATAGTCTTGCATATCAATCAACAAATTTTACCACTCACGTGAGGTCACACGTTATGAAGTAGTATATCGTTTAACGTTGTGTGTGTTTACAAAACTCCAGAAGATTCGGCTATTTATAGATAAAAGTTACCTGTGTACCAATCTCATGAATATGCATGATTAATGACCAGGCAAAATCTAATTGCTAAAATAGAGAGGACAAATCCGATACTCTACGGGATTGAAAGACATTCACTAGGTTTGGATTGTCCTAACCAATCAACAAACTTTGATTATTCACGTCTCGTAATATCTTCCAATCAGGTAGTAAGAGGCGTTCACGCACTGACTGTCCATCGTTCAATTCTTAATAACGTCTCCAAGGAGACGTTAATAATGCGTGCTAATCTATTGACAACACGTAAAACAGTCTTTTGTATTTAAGATATGAGGAAAGGGGAAGTGGATGGTTGTTGGGGATGGATGATAGTAACAGCCGCTGCCTTAAACAGAATAGTGATATATGGGATATCATACTCAGCTGGTGTGGTTTATGTTGTCATCCTGGAAGTTTTTAACGAAGGGAGCGGGATAACATCATGGCTATCTTCACTCATCACTGCCGTTTTATTTTTCACCTGTAAGTATTTGTGAAAACATTGTCATTCATTTTGCACAGTTCATACCGTACATGTACATGTTGCAATCACGCATAATTGTGTACGGCCTTAAAATATTACGCATATAGTTAATTATATTGCCATAGGTAATGTACTAAACTGTATGATGCATAATTTTTTCAAGTCGGAAACTTTTTCCGCAACTGTGATTATTGCATCATAAGACATTGTCCAATATTTCCTGGCCTGCGTTTCACATAGAATTCTTGCGACTCAAATTGATCGAAAGTATACTGAATTGTTCTTGATTTGCAAGTTATGTTTGTCGTAAGATTTTTTACGAAGGCCTGTATATTTGAAAGCAAGGCGTAAAATCATAGTATGCTCACGTAGGGGAAAGACCTTAATTAACCACTACCAGAAAAGGGCATATAAGGATGGTATTAGAAATTTCCTTGTCGTTCCTTCCCACCAATCGATTTGTTTTGAGGGATTTTCATTGACAGTCTATCTAGGATTCTGGAAATCTTAAACAATTTTGGAACAAAACAAACATAAATTAAAACCATGTATACTGATGCATAAGTAATTTCAGATAGTCTATTTATACAATGAAAATAATATTTTTTCATATTTACTGAGTTATGATGCAAATTGAAAACTTGGTTATTTCTGTATATTAATACTGATTCTGAAATGAATTAGAATCATGTGCAAAACAGTGTAGTCGAGAACATTGATTGGCGCGCTAAAATATCCCATTGACTGGGTCAGATTAGGTGAACGTTCGTCTGTAACGCCCACAACTCACGACGTATTTATTATAGACATTTTGACTGTGGGGTCACCAAAGGGTCTCAACGCCTAAATTAAATAATTCGAAAAACTAATCAGGAATAACCTTTGTGTTTTGATTTATGTTGAATACTTAAACGTTCTTTACTTGTGTTTTTGTTATGTTTTGATAATGAATTTTTATGATATCGGAAGTTCTTTCAGCAAAAAAGGATTTAACTGGCTTTAAAAGTTACAATGGATGTGTTGATTATTATCTTTTTTTCGGACGTCAAAGCGATTTAACAATTGCGGTTGTCCAATTATGTCATCTTTAAACTTTTATCTGGTCAAAATGTTATTTTAGAACGAATGCATGATCAACTTTAAAAAGTGTGCAAACACAAAACATATAGACAAAACATACTTCTTTCCTGTCTTTTTCGTACTTGCAAGTTATTAGACAGTAAAAAGGCTATTTGGATCAAGCCTTGTGAAATTTGCATTTACGTTTTTGAATAGGTAAAATGTATAGTTTGGTGATCTTTTCTGCTAACTACTATACTTGTGAAAAACCCTTGGCAACAGAAACATATTCAGCTTTTTTTTTAATCGACCCAATTTACATAGTAATGAACGACTTCGTACATTTTATGATCGCAAATAAAATATGTATATAATATACTGTGCACTGTAGTTCGTATATATACTGAGACCCTTTGGCAACCCCATAGTTTAAATGTTTATAATAAATACGTCGTGAGTTGTGGGCGTTACAGACGAACGTTCACCTAATCTGAGCCAGTCAATGGGATATTTTAGCGCGCCAATGAATGGTCTCGGCTACACTGTTTTGCACATGATTCTAAGTGTCAATCTCAATTGCTTTTTAATTGTAAATCTTTTAATGAATTTTAACTACACGATGATTCGCTGGCAGACTGGCACTTACAAACGTAGACTGGCATATCAGGTTACGTATCATCAGCTCAGTAGTTAGTGCCTCGGTACTGACATGATTTATAACATCAAAATAGTCTATTCCTACAAATACCCATACGATAATTAAAACTGTTTAGGACGTAATTTAATATCCATCACAGATAGAGTTTTCACGGTATTTGTTCCTATTAATAATTCTCAATTTTCCATCTCTTTAAATAATTTGCAGTGTGAAGTATCATGTTAAGCTATAAAAAGATTAATTTCGTATCGTCTATACATAATTATTAATCACGGTTTGATATTATTGTTTAACTATTTAGGGTTAAATCCAACTATATGTGGAATCCATATTCTTTCATTAAAATTAAACGAAAGACGAAAGTAGCAATTATATACCAAGTGTTTCGTCACAGCGTTCCAATTGAACATAAAAAAAAAATGATATCACAGATACAGTTAAAAAATTGACACTGAGGGTTAGCTAAAAAATAACTTACCGACAAAGGAGGTAACCTAAATTTTCCCATTTTAATGGAGTATTCATCGCCAAGTTGGCATATCCTCCAGAGCTAGAGGACTGCTGCTTACAAGGAAGCTATCAAAAGCGTTCTAATCGACAAAGGTTAACTGATTACTCAATATTTAGTTCAACGGACACCAGCATGCCTTCCATTTGTTGACTATTTCGTAATATCAGTTTAACTAATTACCATGAATAGTTTTACACTAGTCATTTTGGGGCCCTTTATAGCTTGCTGTTCGGTGTGAGCCAAGGCTCCGTGTTGAAGGCCGTACTTTGACCTGTAATTGTTAACTTTTTACACATTGTGACTTGGATGGAGCGTTGTCTCATTGGCACTCATACCACATCTTCTTATTTCTATATGTTCTCCTTTTTTGTATCCAAATTCCAGTTCAGAAAATCATAACCGAATGCCCCTGTTATCTCTTTTTACTTGTTATGAGGAAAACGACGGGTGCAGCTAGTAAAGCAGGACCAGCTTTCCCTTCTGATGCAGTTGCAGCTGAGGCCAGTCCACTCCATTTTCTAGTTTTTTTTCTGGTGGGGTTTGTTTTTATTTCATTTTAATTTTGCTATGTAGTGTATTTTTAACTGTTTTTCCTTTAGACATGATGTTGTCTGTACTTTGAATACTATTATAAGAAGGTTTTTTTTAATTTCATTTTTGGTATGGTATTTTTTGTATTTTGTTTCTTAGTTAAACATTAAAAATCAGGAATTGAATAAAACTTCATGAAATGTGACAGGTTCATTTGGTTTTAAATTTAAAATAAAGCAAATCATCAAGGATACCTTTATCAGCATTATACAATAGAGGTACAACCACTATGAAAACTAAAGTGTTTAAGTTTGGGTTTTTTTTTTTGGCATTCTCTTGCCGTCAAATATTTGAAAACAATCATTTTCTGCTTTACAATATGTTAAATAATGAATTTTAGTTTTCCACTTTCAGCAAATCATCGCCTGCAGTTCACTTTTGAATACGCGAAACCTAACTTTATAAAGTATTCGATAGTAATTATTACTTAATCTTTTGTAAGACTGTCGATTGTATAGTTGAAAGCGACAGAAGAAAGAGATACCAGAGATCTGATCGGATCATTAATGATGGTTACATTCCTACAAAATGGCAAGACGAAGATGTTCTCTTAAATATGTATGCCTAACAGAATCCTATGTTAGTATGTTTCCTTTCAGGTCCATTATCTGGATATTTGATTGAAAGATACGACGAACGAAAGGTTGCCATTGCTGGAAGTCTGATTGCAGCTATTGGCATGACGTCATCTGCTTTTGTCAGTTCCGTTCCCGCTCTCATTCTGACTTACGGCATAATTTCAGGTAAAAATATATTTTGGACACCAGAAGTGTAGAAAAAAATCACTAAAGCAATCACTGGCGAACTTAATAATAACTGGTATACTTGATGAGATTTTGCAAACTAATTCAATTTTTTTCTGGCTTTTTCTTGTACATATTACATTTACTGGTTAGCAGCGCAGTAAGGTATATATAAATTGCTTGGTCCGAAACACTATTAAAACAGATTTTAGCATTAACGTAAATATTTTGCAAAATGCTATTTTATAAAACTTATATCATTTGTTTTTTATTTTAAGGACAAGCATTTATAGCATTTTTCTGTGTCAAAAGATAGATAATATTCATCGAAGTCTGGTTGTATCTACGTTGTTATATTTTCTTGCGATTTATAAATTATCATTATTTGTTGTTTCATGATGCTATACCTTGTAAACTATGAATAATGTGCTTATTGAAACAGGTAGTGTTTGCCTGATGCACTTAAAAATATAATTAAACAGTAACTGGGGGTTCTTTACTAATTAATTTCATGTACACTGGATCTAATGTATTTGTTATAGCTATTAAAATATGTTTACAGGCATAGGATGCGGAATAGCGTTTATGCCAGGAAGTGTAGCAGTGGCTAAATACTTCAAAAACCATCGACCACTGGCAATGGCGATATCATCTGCAGGTGGCGGAATAGGTATTTTTGCATTCCCACCGATTATTGAAATGTTAAATGAATATTATACATGGCGTGGTATGTTTTTGATTCTTGGTGGAATAACTCTCAATATATGTGTATTTGGATTATTAATCCGCCCTTTGACAAAAGAGGTCAGCTCAGAACAAAAGTCACAAGAGAATGGATATTCTTCGGACAAATCAGAATATAACAAGTTACAACAGAGCAGTGTTCGCAAGAATCTCGAGACAGTACAATTAAATGGAGAAAGTGAAAACTTCAAACAAGTTGGATTTCTCGACAAACATTTTTATCTGAAAATTCCATCATTTTACATCCTTATGATCAATAATTTTATGTATCAGTTTGGCGCATCGATTATCCTAGGTCACCTGCAAGCTTATGCTGTTTATCAGAAAGGATTTACTAAGCCAAATGCTGCTATTTTATATACAATTTCCGGTGTTATGGTTCTTGTTTTCAAACTTCTACATGGTGTCTTTGCAAATATGAGCCATGTAAAAATATTTAGACCCATTTATCAATATATTTTCTTCTATGCATTAGGTGGAATAGCAACAATATGTTTGACTATACATTCCCGTTACGGTGTATACTTTTACAGTGCGATATTTGGAATGAGTTATGCAGCATGTGGAGGCTCCCTTGTCCCAGCTATAATCATTGACATTTCTGGCGTAGAAACATTTGGTGTTACATATGGAATTGTGCTTTTCGGTTTAGCAGTTGGACAGTTAACTGGTGCTCCTGTAGCAGGTTAGTGTTGTTTCTAAATACACTTAATAAATTTGAGAAAAACGTGTTGTTTGTGTATCGAAGTAAACGTTTCGCCTCCTACTGTTGACGAAGCACACATTACAAAAAATATACTTGCATAAACCATGTAGGCATAAATGACGCGTCGTTAAACAGTTTAGAAGCTTAGGCTTACTCTTCATATACATGAACACAAGAACTTTAATAGTAGAAGAGAAAATGACAACCTTTGAAGTTAACATAGCAGAAATACAGAAATAAAAACAAATATTCAAACAACACTGTAAAATATAAATAACACTCACATAAATATGCTTTTTCCGAAGTGTTTACAATACCGTATTGAAGAACGCAACTAGTAGTAGAAGCAAGCTTAAAACATACTACTTTTGTTTTTGTTTCAATCTTTCATGAATTTATTATTGCAGGTATTTTATATGAACACCAGAAAACATATGATACTTCCTTCATCCTTGCCGGATCTATGATGATAGCAAGTGCCTTAATAATGATTTATCCTCTGAAAACTGATCTCAACCCTTCAAAACTAAATAAACAAAATGAAAATAACATAGAAATGAATATTGAAGAAATCGATTCAATAAACGAAGAAATGCTTACCGTTTTTGATCCAATATCAATGTCCGTCGTTTAGGGAAGCAGAACAAGTCTTCAAAGTGGAAACATCGACAATTTACATTGTGCAGGGAAATATTATCACAGTTCTAATGGTTTACGTAATATAGATACAATGAATAAGCGTTGATTCTTGAAAAAGAAACCATGAGCCCGGAGGGCGAATGGTTGGTTTTTCATGAATCAACGCTTATCCATTGTATCTATAATTAAACTATGGTGTTAATTTCTTTTCAAAATTAAAGCCTTTTCTTAATTAGAAGGTATTGATAGTGAGTTTAAATAACCATGGTTTCATGTTCAACGATGCATTACTAAATATAAGATCACAAATAATTGGTTAGAAAATTAAAATATAAATATAACACAACACGTCTGCCTTTAAATTATCAGGCATCTGAATATTATCTGTGTTTACAAAATAAGACATATTCGAACTTATTTCTAATACATTTGAGAATGGAAATGGGGAATGTGTCAAAGAGACAACAACCTGACCAAAGAGCAAATATAAAGGAAATATAATAAGTATGTTACCGAAATTTCTAGCAAGAAGCCTTATTCTAGGCACATCATGATTTACTCGCATAGGAATTTGCGAATAAACATTTGTAAAATTATGAAGTAAAACAGATGAAATCTTACTATATTTATTAAACAAAAATGGACAAATTGAATGTAATCATTTTCGTTTCAAATATGTGAAATAGCCAATAATAATAAAAAAAAACGGTAAAACTCGCTATTATTACAAAAATATCCACAATTACATACAAAATAAGAAAAAAAAAACAAACAGAAAAACTAAAGAATAGGGACAACAAACAGAATACAGGGATTTGAACCTAAACTGACAAGTCCCTACCTTTAACTTGACTCTTTAACTCATTGATCTTGACCATGCTAACCTCGCGGCTACCAACTTATACTATACGATTGCCTATTATGTATATATAAAGGTACACACCCTGTGTGTCCGTTGTACCGATGTATATCATATGTTCATTTATATATATAAAATAGACATATAAATTGTAACCAATTGATAGCCGAGAGGTTTCGTCGATATGTTGATGTCAGTCACACATAACAGATTTCAAGGACGGGTTCGATTCCCAGTGAAGGCATATAAAAATTACAAAAATTAAAGGTAAGTTTTTAAATTAATTCCATTAGTGAACAGAAATCAGTAAATTAGCTAATTCAAACTTAATGAAGTTAGGCACACAAAGGAACAATTGAATATATAATTTGGTGAATCCATTTCAGCGACAGATTTAGAAAGCGTTGATTCTAGAACAAGTCTAGGTTAGTCTATGGAAAGGTATATACTATGAAATTTAGAGCGAGGGGCTTGCCCCGAGCTCTTAATTTCATAGTATATACCTTTCCATAGACTATCCAATTTAGCACATATTTACAACTCGAGTAATCTTTTAATTGGTCTATTGATAGTTTATTTTGGCTGACTACTTGTATCACAGGTGTTTGTAAAACGGTACTCATTAACGAATTTGTAAATCTACTCACTAGTATCATTGTAAAATATGTGATTTCAAAAGGCCCTTCACTCCAGAATGAAAAGATGGTAGCTGCTGGTGTAAGTATGTATACTGATATAAAGCGGTGTTTTACTATACATGTTCTTCTTACAAGGTAAGATGACAAAATAAATTGACCAAAAGCAGGCAATAATTAAATTGCAGTGGAAGCTTTACATGTTTTGAAAACATTTTTTAATTTCACAGTAAAACTAAAGCTATAATAAATTTGAAACATATAGATAGTTTGTCCCCTAAGATATAGTCTAGCAGATAGGCATTAAAAAGCAACTACAAATAGATCAGAGATTATAGGTTTTGTGTTTTTTTTTTTTTATTAGTTAAAAGTAAAAACTAAAAGATTTATCAGAATATGTTTATATATATATATATAGGTGGCACATTATCTTCAGACATAATCACAGTTTTTCAATTCATGACATCGTCCTAAACATGCATGAAATATTTGCCACTGGACATTAAGCAACCAATAATCAATAAATCAATCAATTCATGACGAAATAGATCACTTTCCTTAAGAAAGTTTAAAAAATTATCACCAAGTTGCTTTAATTTTCCTTCACAAGGTTTCATAGTACACACTTTTCTGTGTACAAAGTAATTGCATGGATGATACATTATCATAATTTTAAGATATCGTTGTACTCTAATCAAGGTATAAAGAACCATATGTATTACCCTTTATTTAAATGATAAAATTTGCAATTGTCAAAAACATTTTTTAGATCCAAAGATTTTAATAGCAGGATATTTAAAAATCAATGTGAAAACTAATTACAAACTATTTAATTTAATTTGGAACACAGCATTTTATTTCAAAATAGCCAGTGGGAATTTTTGTTTTAAATATCTTGATTACGATACAATGAAATCTTATCCTTGTGGTCATTCATGCGTAGTTACTTAGTACACAGGAAAAGTATGTACTATGAAAATTAGAAGGCAAATATAAGCAATTTGATTGGACGAGAAGTTGTAAGTATGTGCTAAGAATCCACGGTAAATGAATAGGCTGACGTCACGACAATGGTTTAAATCGAATTAATCGACTAAGTGATAGTTTGGAATCTATAAAAGTTGGACCAAGATCATCAAGTTTTAGTGTTCACAGGCATACAGGTCGTCAACATAATGCAAATACACAGCAATCAAGTAGTCTTCTGAATGCATTAAGACAGGAAGGTCAGTCTCACTACCACCCAATACTGTCACCACTTGCAATAGAGCGATAATTTAAATGTTTGTGAAAGTTTTGTCGTGGGAGCAATATTTAACTTGTTAATGAAAAAAAGACCAACAATTAAGTCAAATTCATTATATTTTAATCAGTTAGAGAATATCACCATCGGTTTTTTTCTTAAAATATTAAACGTGATGGAAGCATACCTCTACTTTTAACAACTTTTTTAAAAGATTAATTCTTTCATATATTGATGGTTTTGTATACATGAAGGTAGAAAGGAGCAGAGCAACACGCAGTCTCGAGGAAAGGAACATATATATCAGGGAACTTAATCTGATGAAAACAATTTGTTATTAGATATAGGAAGATGTGGTATGAGTACCAATGAGACAACTTTCCATCCAAGTAACAATTTATAAAAGTAAACCATTACAGGTCAAGGTACGGCCTTCAACACGGAGCATTGGCTCACACCGAACAGCAAGATATAAAGGGCCCTAAAAATTACTAGTGTAAAACTATTTAAACGGGAAAACCAACGGTCTAATCTATATAAAAACGAGAAACGAGAAACACGTATGAACTACATAAACAGACGACAACTACTGTACATCAGATTCCTGACTTAGGACAGGTGCAAACATTTGCAGCGGGATGTATGTAAGACGAAGATCCCTCCGTGAACGGAGCACCCTATTACCTGACGATTAATGTAAACACAAACATAATTTATCTTCATCTTAACAGTTAAGGTCATACGATAAAGAATAAATTCCTCGTTGATGTTTCCTTAAAATTTTGACTCAAAGTCAATTTTGATATGCACAATCGAAATATGCAAAGAAAAA